CTGCGGGGAGCATCCTCAGCCGGCGCGGTGTGCTCCTCCTCCAGGGCACGGGGCGAACAACGTGCTCGACTGCTGCCTGCGGACCAAGGAGACGCCCATCCCGCGGCGGATCGTGCAGTACTACCGGCTCCAGCTGGTGCAGGACGGCTGCGACATCCCGGCTGCGGTGTAAGAGCTCCGCCAGGGACAACGGCCCCGGGATGCGGGGAGCATCCTCAGCCGGCGCGGTGTGCTCCTCCTCCAGGGCACGGGGCGAACAACGTGCTCGACTGCTGCCTGCGGACCAAGGAGACGCCCATCCCGCGGCGGATCGTGCAGTACTACCGGCTCCAGCTGGTGCAGGACGGCTGCGACATCCCGGCTGCGGTGTAAGAGCTCCGCCAGGGACAACGGCCCCGGGATGGAGATGGCCGAGGGATGCACCCTGCGGGGAGGCGGGGAGGAAGGCAGAGCCCTGTGGAGGAGGGACGTTGAGCTGGATTTGGTGGCGAGGGAGTAGGGATGGTTGTGGTATAGACTCTGGAGATCAGAGCCTCCACTAGACCAGGACCCGCTGGGAGAGAGAAATATAGGACCAAAGTCAGGGCCAAAAGTCATGTCAAGGTGCAGATGGAGGAAGGAAGGGAGGGAGGCAGTGGGTGAGATCTTAAGCTGTGCTTGAGCATCCCCAGGGTGTCTTGCTCAACTCATCTTGCTTTTTTTTCCCATGGACATGGCAGATTCATCACTACAAAGGGCAAGCGCCTCTGTGCCCCACTACAAGCCCCGTGGGTGGTTCGCCTCCAAGAGAAGCTGGATGCCTCCTCCGCCAGGAGGGTAAGAGCCATCCCTGTTCTCAGCTGGGAATGGGGTCAGGCCAGGATAGGTCAAGCTTATCCACCACTAGCAGGCTTTTCCCGGTGTCACTGGGCTGCTGGGAAAAGCTGGGACGTGTGCTTCATCTCTGTCTTCATCCCTCCTCCCTCCACCTGGGACCAGTCTTGCTCCTCTGCAATTCCTATTCCACCCCAAATAAAAGCAGCCTTGGTGCTGTTGCCCAGCCTGTGCCACCCTGGGCTAAGCCTGATGGCAAATGGGACCATGGCAAATGGCGCCAGGAGCACACCCCTGCCTGCTTCTGCCCTGCAAGCTTGTAGTTTACAACTTGTGCATCTTCACAGAAACGTCTTAGAATGAGTTTGGTGGGTGATTTGCAAGCCCTGCTAGGTCCCCTTTTCACCACCATGGCTTGGCCAGGGGATGTCACCTCTTGACAACCACCCTGACTGTGGGGAAGGGACTCTGGGGAGGATCCTGCCTGATGACCACACTTATCACAGCTGAGTTTTTCTCTTCCCCAGGCCAGTCCCCAGGGGAAGTAGGCTCTGAAGAAACTTGTGGCTGGCCCCAGCACCTGGAGTTGGACTGGGTCCCAGCTGTGAAGCTGGAGCTAACGGAGCCGACTTACTTCCACCTCCAGCCAGTGTCACCCCTCCTTGGCATTTGTGCCAGTGTGTAGGGCTGGGCAGAGCCCTGCCTGCTCTTGCTTCTTCCCTTTGTCTCCAGTGTGACCCAGCAACCTGCATCAGGCTGAGCTGGGGGCTGCTGGACTGGAGACTCTGCTGCCTTTGCAGCCTGGAAGCTGCTTCATGAACTGTTCTGTGGGAGGAGTTTGGGGGATTTCAGTCTTCTTTTCAGCGCAGCACTAGTCTGATCCCTCTGGTTTCCACCGTCAGCCCCAAGCCTGAGTCCTTCTCCACCCCTAGGAAGGGGTGCCAGGACAGGACAGTTTGGGGATGGAGGAGAGGGGTGAAGATGTTCCTCACTGGCTATGCACTCTGCTGCTCCCTCACTGATCACAACATAAATGCCCTCGGGCAGAGCATGGCTGATGGGGTTCCTCTCTCATGCCCTGACTTCCTTACACCATTTCCCCTCCTGCCCATCCTTGCATGGGTAGAAATAGAGCCAGTAATGCAGTGGTGGCAGAGTGGGCAGTGATGTTGCCCTTGGCCCCTGCTCTCCTCAGGGATATTGCCCCCCTTCCCCATCCCCCAGTCGGCCACCGAACTCCTGCCTGGGCAGGGATGCACGACCAGTGTTTGCACTGCTCTCAGGTGTTTGCTGCTACATTTGTTTGATGCAACATAATTATGGGTGTAAATTGCTTCTTTTCTCTTTCTTTTCTCTTTTTTTTTTTTTTTTTTTTTTTTAAATGTGCTGTGATTTTCCTAAATAAAAAGAAAAGCTAGCAGGTAGCTGACCTGTCTCATGTTTGAGCCCAAAGGCCAGTGTGGGGTGTGCAGCCAGGGCTTCCTGCAGTGCCCCAGTGACAAGGGGGTTGTACTGGGGTGTAAGGTGGTGGAAAGGGGCTTTTGTAGAGGTGAAGGGCATGTTCTACAGCAGCTGGGCTGCAAGTCTCTCCTGAGAGTCTCTCACTGCCGTGGTGAGGTGGGTGTCCAGCTCTTCAGTCCTTGGCCAGGCTGCTGGAGCAGGTCCTCAGGGGGCTGTATTGCAGAGGCGGGGTAGGAGGGAGCATGCCAGTATTGCACCATCCAGCCCAAACCATTCCAGTCCCCTTGGTGCAGCTGCTGGGTTAGAGTTCCCCAGCTCGCAGCTCCTCTGGGAGCATGGGACACAGATGTAGAGCTCTGGGAACAGAAGCTTTGTCCTTGCAGTGAGGGGAAACTGAGGCACAGCATGTCAAATGAGTTCTACCAATTGTCCTGGCAGTTCAGTGCTTGCTAGCAGCCGAAGTGCAAGTGAGTAGAAAGATCTTTTGAGGAAATAGAGGCAGCTGAAGACACCCACTCCAGGGAACATCCATGGGTAAGGCATGGAGGGGAGCCTACCAGCTCCTGCCCCTCATCATCGGTGAGCTGCGACTCCCTGACCAGTTTTCTCCCGAGCCTTGGGTCTCCTGGGACTGTGCACTGGGACTACAGTCCTGCTGCCCCAGAGTGGCCTTATGTCCCCTTGGGAGCTGCCCTTTTGCCCAGGCTGTGCAATGCTTGAACAAAGCTGCTCCATTTAGCTGAAGCATGGGATGAATGTAAGTGGGATTTGCACGGCCAACAGCCAGGCAGCATGCTCTCCTCCCAGAGATCAAGGTGTCAAACCTGACTATCCACATCATTAAATAGTTTATACTGTACCTGGCCTGGCTTTGGTACCAGCCAGCAAGCCTGGGCACAGGCTGGGAGTGAGATGGCCCAGGGACTGTTCCTAAGGCAGATGGGATGTGGCACCAGCCCAACCAGAGGATGGCATCCACAGTGGTGCAGCTGGGCAGCGCAAGCCAGAGGATGTCCAGGCACCTGGTGGCTTTTGCTGAGACCTGTTGAATGCAAGCTTAGCCCTGGCCCTTTTCCTCCCCTGGTCTGCTGGCTCCCTTGGCTGGTGGCTGGGGTTTGTTTTTCAAGTGTTGCCCCCTCTGTGGTCCTCCTGTCTGGTGTCTGTGCACACACAGTGCCAGGGCCTCGCCCACCTCTTGGCATGACTTTCCCAGAGCAGCAACTCTGTCCCACCTCATTAACTACAGTGACAACCCCAGCAATTCAATCCCGAGGGGAGGAGGAAGAGAAGGAAGGCTGGCATGGGAAGAGAGGCCAAGACAAACAGTGTGAGTGGGAAAGGAGGATAAATGGTGCTTGCTTGGGCAGAATCCTTCCTGTCGCTTGCTCAGTGACCTGTGAGAGGCTGTGGCTGGGGCTGTGGCTGGGGCTGTGGCTGGGGGGGATGCTCGCTGTGGATCTGCACCAGAGCTGAGCTGTTGTAGCTGGTCTGAGTCCCTGCACAGGGCAGGAACTGCAGGAGGGGCTTAGCCCCAGGGGTGATCAGGTTCGTCCTTGGCTGGAGGCTACTCTGGCAAGGAGCACGGTGTCCTGGATGAGTTCCTTGGGAACTTGAGGGAGAACAGGCTTGTACTGATCTCTTGGATGTTAGAAGCAGGTTCATCTATTTCTGTCAGAGTTTGAGGGATGGCTGGGCCAACCTGCCTGAAGAAGCATAGCTGCAAAGCCCATGGTCTCATTGCTTCTGGGAGCAGTAAATGTGCCCTCCTCACAACAGTGTAGTCGTTCATCACATATCCCCGCCAGGCCCTTGTCTTCCGTGGGTCTCAAGGGGGTGGTGATCCAGGTCCCAGTTCTGGCAGTGTGCTTCCCTTACCCCTCAGTGCAGGGCGGGAGGAGATGCTGTGCTGGGCCAGGCACATCGTCCTGCGTGGCTGTCCCTCCTCCAGCCCTGCAGCAGATGTCCCTACTCCAGAGCCCAGATCTTGGAAGTCTGTCAAACACCAGCAGGCTCAGTGCTTTGCAAACTACAGAGTGAGTTTTCCTGATACAAAATGTCAATGATCTCTTTAGAGGGAAGCAGCCACTTTCCTTAGAGAGAGCAGCTAGTCACTGCCATGTCATAAACCTAGAGCCCCAGTCAAGAGCTGGTTTCGGTAAAAAGTGTTTCAGGTCCTCCTCTTTCTCTCTCCACAACCATGTTTTTCATGCTCTTTGCCTGCTAGCCTCACTTCATCCTCAGGAGCTGGTGGGGTAGGATCAGGATCTGATGCAGACATGCCCTTAGTGGGTCTGGGGCTACCTGCAGGGATCACTTTGGTGTGAGGTGTTCTGAAGTATCAGTTGAACCACCTACAGACTTTTATCCAGGCCTGGGATCTATAATTCACATGTTGTGGGATAGTAAGACATTATAACTGGAAAGCTTTCCTTGGGAGCTGACCAAACCACCGCTCCCTTGGTGGCTGTGCACAAAGCCAGGAAAGAATGATAAGGCTGCATCTATGCAAGCACACTAGGCATGCTTTGGGTTGTGTTCTGGCTACCAGCTCTGATAGCTGGGATCATGAGAGCACTCCTTTCTCTCCCAGACATGGTGAAACCTGTTTTGGATGTTCCCCAAGCTTTATTCAAGGGGCACAAGACACAGCAGGCACAAGCTGCTGTGGTCTCAGGGTTTGACCTGGCATGGGCATTCCCAGCGAGGAGGTAGGATTGAAGGTCCATAGAAAAAATACTTGTTTCTCTGCAGCAGGAACAGGCATCAAAGGGAAATGCTATGCTGGTCTCAGCTGGTGCCATAATACTCCTCCCAGGGGCTTGGAACAGATTTTTTCCCTTGCCTCCAAAGAGATGGTATACAGGGGCCTTTTGTGTCACCAGCATCCCTTATGTGTTGCACACATTGTTACTGGAGCAACTGGGGAGGAAACAGCTGCACCCTCCCCACATTCAGCCTCTGGCAAGGTGAGCAGCACTGTGGGGGTTAAAAGTTCTTCCTGCTCCTGCAGTCCTCACATGGCTTCTTCATCCTGCTCCCTGGTGCAGAGTCATCCACAGGAGCTGTGAACACACACTAGCCATGTTTGCCAGTGCAGGGGCTGGTTAGTCCCTACTCTGGTGGTCTCCTCTGCCTGGTGCCAAGCCAAGAGGCTGGGCTCTATGGACACAGCCCCCTTGGCACCTGTGCTGGACCTGGTTAGCAGGGGCTCAGGGACCTGCCTGGGGTTTTGTGAGGAGATGGGGCATTTGGACAGTTGGGAAGGGTGGGAAACCAGGTGAGGAAAAGCCCCCTTAGTCTTGTCCCATTGTGCTGTTCACTCGTGACTAAACAGTAACGTGTGTGGGTGAAATGGAGGATCCAGGCTTGGCACCTCTCCTCCTCAGGCCCCTGCTTGTTGCTCTCTGATTCCCAGCATATCATCACTGATGCTGCTTGTCAGGACACTTTCTGCTGAGATTTGTCCTGTGGGAAGATGCCAGCACCCTTGGCCAGGTGGTGGGGCTCTGAGCAGGAGCTGATGCCACACCTGCTGCACTTCT